CTCTGCGTTTGTTAGGAAGGCCGGGATCAAACAGGCAGATTTGCCACGGCTGACACCCCTGCTGCTGCAAGTGTGTGTTCAGTGTGTGTGTGTGTGTGTGTGTGTGAGCTAAACTCGGACTCAGTAATGACAGGATTTGTTAAACAGTAAATTAATGAATAATGAAATATCCAGCACGCGCCTGCCGTGCCTGGAGCACAGAGCCCCGAGCAGGAATTACTCCTGACTGGCACTGCCTGCATGCTGCATGTCCTGTGTGTGTCTGTGTGTGTGTGTGTGCTGGATAAGCATTTTTACAGCCCATTGCGTGACAAAATGCCGAGGGGCTTTGCTGATGGGGGCCTGCTCGCTCACGCCTCGGCAGAAACCCGGGCAGATGCAGATGCGCGCGGAGCAGACTGGACCTGAGCAACGTTCTCATTACCTTCAGGACCTCAGTTCCTAACTGGATTACAGTTCCTGGGTTCTCTCATTAAAGTAACAACCTGTGACATTTTCATAAAACTAAATTTTGCTTCTCATTATCACCAATTCATCAAGCACACATGATTTATGTTATTTTGAAGCCCTCTGAGCTCACTTGTTGTTAATTCTGTGGATTTCTCACTCGTCCACAAATGGCAATAAACCCATCATTAACAATCTGCACAAAAACAACAACAAATATAAAGTTTTATGTTCGTGAATCTCATGCACTGGTTTATAAATTACAGAGCAGCACTCAGGGGTTCTTGGGCCTCCGGTGTATAAATTTGTAAATAATTTGATCATAAAGTAAATTTCATACAGATGAGTTGATTACATCAGAAAACGACACTGTAAAAAATGAAATGTGGGACTTATTTGAATTACACAACAAACATATTGATTTTAAAGCGTATAGTCAGTTTTAACTATAAAAATAAGCAGGTTTTATTGTATTTAAGCAACAAAATGCAACCATTTAGTTTAACCTTTGTGCTTAAAATATAAATACTGAATGAATTTTGTCCCGAGGTGATGAGCATTAGACCAGTGGGTCCATTTTTTATGTACTTTGAGCCCATTTGAATACATTGATGAACAACTTGGTCATGACAAAGTTTAAAATATTATTACATTTAAACAGCTAAATATAGCGAAATTAGGTAAAGCTGTTAATTTATTTTTTACAGTGTATACTGAAGGGGATCAAACTGTGTTTTGGAATATTTTTTTCAACTGTTATCCTAAACTATATCAAGTAGTAGTTTGAAAGCGTTTGTAGTATTTTTCCAGATATCTTGATGAGCAGTTCTGAAATGCGGGTATGCACTTAATGTAAACAAAGCTGCATCTGACAAAAACCACGCGATGGACCTGTTAAGCTAAACGATTATGAGTGCTAAGTTTAACTTTGACTGTTTCTGTTGGTACAAAATGCCAATTTTGCTAACACGGTTTTTAAACGAAGGACACGGCAGCATCAATGGAGAAGATATTTTTACTTCCAGACCTTTAACGTCTATATTTGCCTGGACTTATTTATTTTTATTTTATTCCAGTTTAAATTAGCTTTTGTTAGACCTTCAAAAAAACAAAAACAGAAGTTTACAAATTTTGACAATGAGCTGATTTTGGGGGCTGCATCTGTTTCTCTTTAAAATAAATAAACAAACAAATAAATAAATCCTTTGTTTTGGCTGAAATGCACCAGAAATAACACCGATGAACAGACTTCCAGGTAACAAATTATTCATTATTATTCATATTTCAGTGTCAAAGTGTTCAGTGATGTAAAACAAGCTGGGTTATTTTGGAAATGAAGACCAATTTTAGTTTAGAACAATACAAAATATACAAATATCGTGTTTAGCCTCATAGCAGAGGCTTAAAATCATTAGGAGCTCTGACTCTTCTTAAATCAGTAAAGTACTTTTAAAAATATTATACCAATGTGATTTGAGGTCACAGAGAAGGTTCTTGTTATATTTAACTGTTAATATGTGGAAAAAAATATAACTTTTTCTCATTTATTTATAATTAAAGGAGTGAAATCCTTCTTAACAGCCAACAGAATGGAGGAAAATAAATAAATTATCCACTAAAGTTAGTATTTTAATCGTTTTATAGTAATAATAATAATAATAATTTCATGAAGTGTTTTTAACAGAGTCAAGAGGAAAAATGTATGAATGGCAGTAGTAATTTTTCAAAATAAAGAGCAGACATATGAAGATATTGACGTCAATATTTATGTTTTTCTAAATAAAATCTTTTCTTGTTTTTGTGCAGCCCAGTACCAAATGATCCTTGGACCTGTACCGGTCCTTGACCCAATAGTTGGAGACCCCACGGAACAGGTTTTGACTCCACAAGTGAAAAGATGAAGTTTTGAACTTTAAAACTAAACTTTCAAGCTGATTATCAACAGTAAACATGCAGTTATTTTTTTATTATGAGTTATTTTATAGAAAATGTTTGATAATGGCTCATAAGGCGGTTGAAACACGTTATAAAGAATTAAAACACTTCATAAATGAAAGCAGCCTCGCTATTTGGCAATATTTTGTTAATTTTATTTATTATTTATATTTCGGAGCTCAAACTTTTGTTATTGGCCTGAACATTTTTTAGGTTGTTTCGGTAAATAAAGTTTAAAAAATGTAACTTTCTTGTATTAAACTGAAGAAATAAATGTTTTAAAATTGGCTTATGAATGATGGTTTACTCTTTATTACAACCTATGTATTAATAATTCATATAGTCGTTTTAATATTATGATTACAACTTTATAATTTTGACGTAAACACCTGCAGGTTGCATGTTCCTGGAGAAAATAAAATTCATATTTAGTAATGGTTACAAGAATGTGAAAATATTTAATTTTGTTTTAAAAACATTAGTCCTAACTCTTTATGTTGTTGGTTAAATAAATGAACTGAAGGACATTTCTTTACAGCTGTTCTCTGTTCTCTCATCTCGCCCTGATCCTTCTTCTTCTTCTTCTTCTTCTTCTTCATGTTTCCAGACAACCTGTCCTCCTCGCGCTGCAGCAGCTTCCTGCCGCCGAGAAGCGCTCGCGGACACGCGGGTGCTGAACGCAGCACCTGCGTCACTCCTCCTCCTCCTCCTCCTCCTCCTCCTCCTCCTCCTCCTCCTCCT